CTGAGGACTCGTATTGAGTGAGAAGTGCGTTGTGTGCAGGTTCACTCTCAAGAGTGCAATTCCCCAGTCCGTCCATTAGGGGGCAGACATGTCCCATCTTTTAGACTTTGATGAAAGGATTCTTTCTCTCCTGGTAATTTCGACTGAAAAAAAGTATATTTTAGTCGTCACCTTGTTTGCTAATTAAAATCAGTAATTGTTTTTTTAATGACTGATTCTATCACTTACCATAAATATACAATATTTTAATTCTACTACAAGTGGGAAATATAAAAATTGTTTTCAGATTTTTTATTTTATTTTTATTTGTTTTAGGTTTTATAGGTTTTCTGGGTTGGGATGTAAAATCATAAAATAACATTTACATAGAAAGTAGCTGAGTCTTCATAATTTGAGTCTTGATGTGCTGTTATCAAAGAAGAGCTGCTTGGATACTAAAATCTCAAACTCAAGGAAAATACTCGAGCATTAGTTACTTGAAGGCATCTTATTATTATTATTATAAAAAATATAACAATATAATTATATGTACATTGAATTCAGTTGAACAATTATTTATAAAACATGTTTCTTTATAGTTGCAGATGCATTTAGCATCAGTTCTGTTCAGGTTCTGGTTGCATCAGGCGATCAACTAATTCAACTAACAAGTTTCTGTTTGACTTTTGACAACAGAACGCAAAATCCTTTAAGATGCTTTGTCAAGTTATTTCATTTCATACTGCATACTAAGCAATTTTTCTAGCACTCAATGAGTCGCCAGTCCATGCATATGTCGATCTGATTGTCTGCTTTCCTTTATATTCGTAGATTTCATATGGAAAAACTAAGCAGTGGACATTCCTGTGGGGATTTTAAGTGTCTGAGAAAGTTGAATGTGTGGATCTGTGTGGTGAGGCTGGTGGAAGGTGTTACCTGATGTGATCCATTTAAACGTATCAGCCGGGCGGCACAGCTGAGGCCGTGGAGAAAGGAGAGAGAGGTCACAGGTCACTCATTCATCCATTAAACATACACCACTTAGTGAAAGAGCTCTGTCACACACACACACACACACACACACACACACACACACTGGGATGTAGAGGTGTCACCATCACTTTAAGGGAAATTTAGATGATTGGACAATTGCCTGAACTTTACCAAACAGCATTTGTCCCTCTTTATCTCTCAAGGAAAAAGCTCTGCTTTACAATATGACTGCAAAAATAACAATAAAAGCAATAATAAGAAATCAGAATCTGATTCGAACGTATTGCCCCTCTGCGTGTTTCATGAGTAATGAAGCTCAGAAAGTAGAAGGTGTTAATCTGTATGTGTGGATGAATTGCAGCCAGTTATTTCTAAAATCATACAGTGTGCTTTCTGTGATCCTAAAATTAATACAAATTTCATAGCATTTCAAAATGCCAATTAGAGATGCTTCAATCAGTAAATTATTAGAATTGGACTAATTTCCTTTGATTTTGCCCTGATCAGTGATTAGCGGGTCAAATTGACATTATTTCATTTGACATTTAATTTAAAAAAAAAATTGAATTAAATCAAACTGAGATCTCACACTGCATCCACCTTCAAACTATGTTGGTGCACTCTTTGAGGGGTTAAATAAAAATCAAAGGATGTAGATGGGGTAGGTCAACATGACTCAAAATAAAATCTCTTGAAATCCAATTTCTGGTTTTCAAGAGGGTTTTTTTTTTTTTCCTCCCGTTTTTTTTTCTTAGGAAGAAATTACAAATGGCAGAAAATATTTTCTAAAACTTTCAGCAATTTTTATTTTTCAGTCCAAATAAATACAAGCTCAGTTTGTACCTAAACCACCCCATGTTAATTTTAAAATGAACATCTTCTGTTTTTATTAAATTTGTTGTTTTTAAATAAGCAAACATGACAGCATAAAAGCTTTTGCATTTTTAGTTAAAGGCATCATACGGTGGTTTGGGCATCATCTCTATGCCCAAATTTGAAATATTCCCAACTGTATAGCGCAGTTTTTATCCTTGTAGACGATATTTGCAGGATATTAGAAAAACGTAACATGCAATATCAGTGAGTCCTGCGATAATTAAAAAAAATTAATGATATAAAACTATATTGATAAATTTGCAACGTATTGCGTAGCTCTGTCCCACATAGTGTTTGTGCTCCAAACACTGAGTTTGCGCCAAACGCCACTTTGCTTTTGTTTCCACTTGGGGGCGCTGTTTCCTCTGAGCGCTTCCTTCCACAACAAGGTCGCTGACACAAAGGGCAAAGCCACCACATCTCGCTCATCTGCAGAGAACATAAACCGGGCAGGGTGAACACGCTCTGCTCCAACAGCTTTTCAAAGCTGCCTTTGTGTGTTTTGAGTGGACCTGATGTCCAGAAACGCATTATCTGTTGTTTTGGAGGGTTTTCGCCTGTGTAGACCCCTATTTTCTCTGTCTCTCTCTCTCTCTCCCCAGCATCCACCGGGCGGTAAGGAGAACTAGGCCGCTTAAAGATAGCTCCCGGCAGCCTCAATGCCACCTCCCAAAATATATCTGCTCATGAGAGTCATCATCTCTCTTCCTCCCTCCCCCTCTTCCTCATCCTTCTTTTATTCTATCTCCTTTTGGACAGAAAGCAAGAATCCACATTGGAACTTTGTTAATCGATATTCAGCATGATCAGTTTTTTTTTGTGTGCTTTTTTAAAAATGAAAATATATTCTAGAAGCTGGAGTTTGACTTTGATTGTTCCTCAACGGAGAGACGACATCAAGACTGAATTCATTAAGATTAGTGCGGTTTTAGGAGAAAGCTGTAAGAATTTTTGGACTCATCCTTTAAATAGGAAATCTGTGTTGGAGGACTCATCTTTTTTTTTTTTCAATTTGTTGTCCAAAACTTATGAATTTACAAAATGACCTTTGTGGTTGTTTTTTTTTAAATTATCATTTCTTTAGATTCATATTTAATGCAGTACCAGTAAAATGCACTTAAAAGGAATCTAAAATCCCCTTTTATAAGAAAGTGTTTACAGTTCACCAACCAAGAAACAAAAGCCATATATGAAATTGATGACTAAAAAGCTGAATGCACCGTCTCAAATGAGCTCAATATTTTTCCTGCTGCCTGGATGGCTGCGCAGGGACCAAGACTGTAACCCCCCGCCCGGCCCTCCCTCTCCCATTGGCCCACATCCACAGAGAATGAGGACAATAGTTTGGCTCAGAGACATGTGTGCCTAATGTAGTCCTTTTATGTGGGAAAGTGGGACTGTATGGAAGTGGAAGTGAAAGGGGATCATTGCATTGCTGTTTTCCTTCCTTCGCGTGTCGCCCAGATCTCGCTGACTTCTGCATTGATGACTCTTTCAAACGCTATTCAGAAAAAAAAAAGAAGTTTATGGGCGGGGAAAAACTCTGTGTGCTCTGGAAAAGTGTGGAAATGTTTACATTTTCAGATATTCTTTGGGAATCCATCCATCTATTTTAGTCCATTTTTAAAGTACAAATAGAAAAGACCTGACAATAACGAGAATTTGAGAAAAGTATGGATTTGGAAGGTTTTTGAGTGCATAGTAACTGGATTTTGTTTTGATGGTAAAAGCTAAAAAAAATGCAACACCGTTATAGTTGTAACAATGAAACCCTTTAACTTCTGTCCAAAAGTAGGCCTTCTCCTTCTACCAGGACCTTGTTTACTGCCATCATTTTTGCAATAATTTGTGGTAATATTGTGATAGCAATAAAGTGACAATAAGAACTATGTATCACTTCTTCTTTTGATATTTGTGTGGCTGTGGCTAAATGACATGGCAATCATAAATAACCCCACAAACACAAATATTGCTCTTGAAACGCATACCCATTGTTATGGGTATGTGTGTGTGTATATATATATATATATATATATATATATATATATATATATATTAATGCTGTCATTGAACAAACAGAAAAAATAGTAAGACTAATAACCCTGAACATAAGCACAGTTATGAGTTTTTTTTGTGTGAAAACATGGTTAATTGGTATTTATCGTGACAATAAATCAACAATTTTTTTTCTTATAAGAAATGTATCACGATAAATTATAAACGATACAATAATTGCCAAGCCCTACTTTATTTTAACAATTTTAATTTTGCATAGTGACAATCATTTTCTGCACATCGCAAAAATGTTTTAAATTCGCGTCTGAAATTAATGCCTTAAAATGTCTCTAACCTAAAAAACGTGGTTTATCTCTGGCAAGACTTTACTGTCAGGCAAACCTTTGAGTGCCATGCTAATGCTAACACCTTCATTGTTGTACCCTCGCTACCTAGCCAGCTAGCTTTTTTACCTCTATAAAAGGCATAAAGCCGGGTTCACAATTTTTACTATGCTTCATTGTAATACAGCAAGTTCCCCCAACCACCCTTCATATTAATAATTTGTTAAATTTTATTCAAGGTGGCGTTAAAAAGGTCTTTAAAAGACTCGCTGTAACCCACATATCGCTCCTGAATTCTGTATCATGATCTGTATCATCCCATCCAGCACCCCCGTTTTGCATATTTCAGTTGCACATTCACATGCATACATGTACGAGCTGTGCGCATACCTCTACACATTATCGAGGTCAGACTGATAGACGGAGGACCCCCCTCCACCCCTTCCCTCTTCACCGCACACCCTCTGGCTACCTCTCTGCGAGCTGTTCAGTCATGTAGAAGCAGACCCATCTGCCCCAAGAGATGGTGAGAATACAGAGGCAGACAGAAGACACACACACACACACACACACACGCATGCATGTGCACAAATGCAAAGCAGGCATTGGTGGAAGTGAGGAGAGAGGATGCCAGAACAAGAGAAGCATGATGGGGGGGGCAGTGAAGCAGATTTGTGCAGCGTTGCCCCGAGATACAGGATGTCGTAATAAGGCAATCGGAAGAGAGAGAGTGGACGAGAGAGAGAGAAAGAAACTAAGCAAAATGGAAACGGGGGAGGAGTTTGAAGCCTCAAGAAGAAAAACATGAGTTTTCCTGTCTGTCACAAGCGGACACCCCTCCGCCCGAGCAGAGAGTGGGACGCTCCGCCTCGCTCTGGGCTCTGTTGTTGTGCAGAGCTGCATGCACAGGGCCTGACAGAGCCGAGCCTGACAGGAAGACGAGGAAGACCTCAAGACAGAGACATGCTGCGGACCGAGAGCCGGGAAGCTGTGTCATCATTCTGTCCGACCAGCACCACCGCGGAGGAGAGAGACGAGGCCAAGGCGGCGGAGAGGACGGGCAGCATCAGTGAAAGCAGGAGAAAGTGAGGGGGAGAGGAGAGACAAGGTGAAGGAGGAGAAGGGAGGAAGGAAAGGGAGGGAGGAAGGAGGCTGGAGCACGAGGAGGGGCGCCTGACTGACTGACTGACAGACATTGCTGCTGCTGCTGCTTTCAGCTCTAAGCACACACAAGCGGAGGCAGACCCAGACAAAACCGGGTTCCGTCCTCCATCTCTTCCTCCTCCTTCTTCTTAAAGCAAGAGGATATAGAGAAGGACGACGACGAAGAGGAGGAGGAGAAGGAGGGGAGGCAGTAACCCTCTCCTCTGCTGCACTCAGACACACACAGCAGAGACAGAGGCAGAGAGGAGGACAGCAGAACAAGGAAAGAAAACCCCGTAAAGGACAGGAACGGGAACGCGGCTTTGTGCTCTTCATTTCGCCGTCTCCTGTGGTCGCTCGGCCGGAGAGCGGCTAACAGGCACCGCTCATGTCCGTGAACTCGGAGAAATCCTCGTCCCCTGAAAGGTAACACCTCTCTGCTGATGCTTATCGTTTCACTCATTCCCCCCCCCCTGCCTGTCTTAAATGATTGTTTTTAGTAATTTTTTCTATTTTTGGTGTTCTCAAATTTACCGCCGACTCTTTTTTTTTTCCTTTCTCTTTCTGTCTGTGCTGGTTTCTTCCATTGTTCGAGAAACAACACCGAGACAGAATAATACAGCCGTTCGACATAATCTAACAGTATAATCCCATTTACACATCTCCCAGGCTCTGACGATAACAAACAATGCACAGACAAATATATAAATATATATATAAATGGTGTCTATGATGGTGGTGCACAGAGCTTACACAGCACAGAGTGTCAACACACGTCAACATCAGCTCAGGCAGCAGCAGCAGCAATGCAAGACAACAGCTCACTACATGACGCACCAGAATGCATGCTGTTTCTGATCAGCACATATCAGCTTTAAAACGCTTCGGCCGATCAGATGAGGTATGTTCATATGATAAAAGAGCCAATCTTGATGTAGCATGCTCTCACAAGGCCTGCCGTCTGTCTCCTCAACCAGCCCAACACGCATCATGACCATGCATAAGCCAGAATGAGATTCCAATGGTGTGAAAGAAAAATTAATAATATTATCACCATTTCACCAGGATTTACTCACAGCATCAAACGGCTTCAAATCAGCAAATATTTCCACTGCTGCTTAAATAATAACACATATTCTAGTTTGAATAATGTCAATTATACAATTTGTTTTTACTTTGATTTTAATACATGGCCAAAGGCAAAGTTTTAACTTTAAGGGACGGGCAATATGGCCTTAAAATGTCCATTTTTTGGTATTTATGGTGGTATCTGTGGTAGTGGTTTTAGAGAGTTTAGAATCAGAGAGTCTTTATCCAGTTGGTTCCCTCAATACTGGAGTTTGACCAAGTAGTGCAAGCGTGCTGCTTGCAATCATTTCTATGTGAGAATTACATATGGTTGGCCTCATAGCGTAATTGCCTAAGACATATTTTGGCCAAATTGAGATAAATGCATAATATTGATCTCCTTACACTGCTACATCACCCTGTTGTCTATATCCTCAGCATGTCAGAACACTGGTTATAGTCTAAGATCAGTATTTTTCTATATATTTTTATTTGTTTCCATATCTTGTTCCTGCTTTTTCTTGTTTTCTAACTAAAAACGTTGAAATATAACTTAGGCAATTATCCTAACGATATCTATTGATGCTCTCATGGAAACAATTGCAAAAACAGTGCAAACTGCAGAGGTCACAATCTCATGCACACTGTCAGTTTCTTTTGTTTGCAAATATCAATAACTATAGTTTCATTATTACGGTATAGAAATGTTCAAATCAGAAAGAAAAAAAGCAGCAAATATGGCTTAAAATTTCTTTTAGGTCCTATTTGACACACATAGCATTTTAAGGTAACATAGTTACTTTATTCTATAAAATGACAATGTGTCTAGAAAACATAATGCTGTCCTTTTAAGATTTTGTCAATTTGTCTGATTGTTGGTAGTGATCAGAGTTAATCAGAATTAATACCCTGCTTTTAAAAACGCTCCAATATTAAGGTATCTATTATTAGTAGTTGTTGTAGGTAGTTGATTAGTCAAGCTATCTGCTCAGGTAGCCATCTTGCAGTTCACTACTTATCATGAACTGTGACTTGTAGTTTGCTGGCCTGGCCATTGCCTTCCTACGCAATGCCACTCTATTCTAATCTCTCTTCACTGCTCTATCTAGGATTTCTCCCATTGAGGTGGATTTCTCCAGTAGAATTTCAACCGGGCCGACCTGCTACAAAGCGAAGTGTAGAGCAAAGGTCTGGTTTGCATCAGGCTAGTAGCTTGAACAATTGTAGTGACGGATCCACACCATGAAGTCTGTGTTTCTGAGAATGTTTCCAAAGAGGTTGATTTTGTTTTTCTTGAGAGAGAAAAGTATAGTCGCCTTGTTTTAGCCAGCTGATGGAAAGTTTACAGTGAAACATGGGACAGGTCCAGTGGTATGTTTTCAGCGTTTTTGACGTGTCAAATGTGCGTTAAAGATGACGACCGATACCAATCGATTGATTAATGACGTTGCTGACTCAGCGAATGTTAGCCTAAGTATGTCGAGATAGAGACTGGATACGATTGAGAAGAAGCTACTCATCCGAGTCTGATAGCTAAATAAAGATCATTGTCCTCTTGAAAAATTTGGATTCACTCATGCAGCCCCAAGTTATCAAAGTCAGGTTGTGCACACATCCTTAAAAAGTCTTAAATTCATGTATCTAATATTAAGGCGTTAAAATGTCTTGCATTAATTTAAAAATATTTACTTTGACTTTAGTTAATCGATGAACTTCAGTTTATGTTGTAGAGGCAGTGCTAGCTAACTAGCTAGCTTTTTAGCGTCTATCATGAGTAAGTGTAAATTTACCGCCGGTTGGCTGGACGACGTTCTGTCCTGATGCAGGTCTTCAAAGCCTTAAGTTTGAGTTTGCGAAACCTGCAGAAACCCTGAAAGAGTTTTTCTTTCATTTTACAAGCAGATCATTATATATATAAAAAAGATGCCCCATCAACATTGCTTAGCACATCTGCAGAAGATTTCTATTTGCTCATCTTCTTGAGTCAGTGGATCTGAAAAAACGAGCATGAAATATATGGTGTGTGCAGAGTTTCCTGACTTAATTCAACAGGAACCCCTGTTCATTCAGATTTAATCAGGCCAACCTCCACGTTCCTAAATCGGTGTGCGGAAGGAGCTTGATTTGACGGGTGCCGGAGGGCGAGGACTCGGCAGACCGGATGACTCAAGTAGCCGCTGATGCTGATGCTGCGCCGCGTTTTTACGACCTGAAAGTGCCTCTCCCGTCCACACACCCCTGTGCCAAAGACCCCCAGATTGGCACGCTTCAGCACATACTGCAGTGGGTGCGCAGAAACGCCAAAAGTAAATGGGCACTAACGATATCAAATATGATTACACGGACAGTTGGGTGCAGAGGAGAGTGGTACTATGAAGCAGAGTTTAATGTGGCAGTGGCACATGCGTCCCATAAAACAACTGTGTGTGGAGGGTTGGGACAAAGAAAACAGGATCTCTAATCCTCGGCTCTTGCATGTCGGTTGTGTGTCAGTTTCTTTGTGGTAATATTTATGGATTTCATCACTCAGCTTGCTTAATCTGTCACCTATTGTCTGGCTTAGCGCGATCTGTAATTAAGAATACCGTCGCATGGCAGGTAACAACTAAAGGAGCCACCTCTGCCCCCAGTTTTTAACTCCAGCTGCACCTCAAATGACCCCTATAGTTAGTTTGCATTCGGACAGTCTCTTAGAAAATGTGTGTTTATGTACATCTCAGAATTTGTGTTTAAATGTGTAATTATATCCTAGTTAGTTATAAAGTTTTGGTTTGATGAGAGAACTCCCAGTATGTTTACGTTTGGCAAAAGACGTTTTACAAAGAAATAATTAATGAAGTTTCGAATCGCCTTTCGAAAAACTAAAACGGAAATGAGCTGTAATCGTTTAGGCAATGTAAATATGATACTTTATAAGAAAACCATCTTTCTTGCTTCTGTGATTTGAAAATGTATGTGTTTTTTTGAACTTGTTCACATTTTGTTATGTTATGCACACAAACTTGGATCTATTTTGCAAGGATTTTATGTGATAGACCAAAATCTTCAGTGCAGAAATTTATATTTTGCTAGTGGAGCTAATTAATGGTGGCTGGATAAACAACAGTGGAAACAAGATGCCTTAAAAAATAAAATCAGTTTATATTTAGGTTTTTTCACTTCACAATTACTTGGGAAAATCTACAAAGTGTGGTGTGCATTTGTATCGTGCAAAATGTACTCTGCTACCCTTAAATAAAATCTAGATCAACAAATTGCCTTGAGAGGTCGGTGCATATTAGGGCAGAAATGATTGATCAGACTAATCTTGATGCATTGATTATTGAAATGATTGTCAACTTATTTAGCAATTAATTCATAATTAATGGGGGAATACAGACAAAAAAAGCCTTTTGCTGAAAGAACAACATATTCAGAGCAATAATGAAGCCAAAGCTGTGCAAAAAATACATGCGATTTGTTTTTAAGGTGGAAACAAACTTAAGTTCTGAGTAGAACATATTTACAAATTGTCACGTTGCATAGTTTTAACTTTATCCAGTTGAAATTATGTACAAAAAAAAAGACTCCTATTAAGCACATTTTGCTGTCCAAACTTGGTTAATCCGACAAATAATCAACAGATTAGTCCTTGAGCTTTTGAGCTTTTCACTTTTGCCTAAAACAGGCTCAAGTGGTTAAATGAAAAATCTTCAGAATGTGCCAATTTTTTAAATTTGATTAATCCACCAAATAATCTATTAAAGAAAATAATCATTAGTTGCAGCCCCCATACATATTCTCTTTCCTCTTTGTAATTTTTTGAGCTACTTGTGTTTGTCTCATAAAATAAATAAAAAAAAAAAACATTGAAGTTTTGGGTTGTATTGTGACAAAATGTGGGCAATTTTAATCGGTAGGCATATTTTTTACAAGGTGCTATATGATGGAAAAACACTTGCTGCTGGAATGTTATGTAGAAAAAAAATTACATTTTCCCCTCATTCTAGGTTTGGCAGAATTTGGGTAGGTTAATTATGACAAATATCAGCTATATTTTAACATTTAATCCTAAATCATTGTGTCTTTGTTCTGTTTTCTGTGGCTTTCCGCTCTGAAAATGAAATGGTTCTAAGCTCTGTCTGCGTAGCACCATCTGAAACCTGGACGGCGCACACACACACAAGCAGACACAAACAGATCCATGCCCGGTTCAGCAGAGCTTCGTTTGTGCTGAGGCATGTTTGTCCACAATACAATGATGTGTGTGAGACTGTCTGCATGCGTGTGTGTGTTAAACCAAATGGATGGGCAAGTTGGGCCCGAAAAGGGCAAGATGTGGCGCAGAGACAAATGCCTTTCAAGCGATCACATTAGGA